GGTATGTATCCCTCCCATTCTCCGTACACCGACCAGTGTTGACAATCTTCTAGTTGGGGAGGTCGGGGAGGGTTTGGATGAGGGGTGGAAGCGGTGGAAATGAGTGTGGTGTTGGGAGGGGATGGGGGCAGGAGGGGGCTGTGCGCGGGGCAGGTGAGCGGAGGGAACGGGCAATGAGCGGTAGGCGGAACGGGCTCCTGGTTTTGGGCGAGATAATGTTTGATGGGGAGGTGATTGTACATTACGTAGCCAGAGCGTGTCTGTTAAATGCAACATGTTCGCCCAAGTGGCGTCCAGAGAGGAAGAGACTTCAAAAGAAATAGTGCACAAACCGCTGTGTCTACATCAGCTGCACCGGTGCGCTCTGAGTGAGATATGTTGTGCGAAAGCGACACCTTCAATACTGGGAGGAGTGAGAAAGGATGCATTCGTGTCTCTGTATGTTTATTCTTCTACCTCTCGGGTTCTCGGCTTCGTTCGGAGGCCATACAGTCCTGCGGCTCGTATTGGGAGAGGTATAAATACCTTGGTAAGTATGGGCTTTGCCTTCGATGTATACCAATTGCGTTTTCGCCCGAGCTACAACCTGGGTTTATGTCATGCTTGCCATGCAATGGTGCTGCCTACTGCTGCCTGGCAGGGCGAAAGGGACCTTGTACGCTGCTGCCGTCTGAAAAGCACGAAAAACGATGTGTGAGGCTGATCGTAGGTGAGAGAAGATGTGATGCTCAGTCGAAAGACACCAGGCAGCAGTGGATCTAAGACAGTGATCACCGACGAGCAGTGAATCACGACAGGCAGTGAACAGCGCCGCTGCCAGTCGCGGGCTGAGGTGAAGTGATCACGCCGGCTTGCTTCGGGTCTTCACTTTGGAGGCGAGGTATAAATAATGGTCTTGCCCTCGACGTCTTCTTCCTCTTCTTTCCACACGGCTTGTCCGCGACGTGCCGTCTACTTGCCATGCCCTCGTAGCATCTACTGCTATCTGGTTGGGCGACGTTGATCGTGGACGCTGCTGCCACAGGCGTGTGAGCACGGTAGGAGATATGTGAGGTTAATCGTAGACGAGGAAGATGGTCTGATTGATTGAGTGACACTAGGCAGCAGTCGATCTGACCGATGTCACGAGCTGTCAATACCTCCGAACTGGGTTGGTGAAGTGTTCGTTGCGGTTTGCGTCGGATCTTCACTTTGGTCACGAGGTATAAGAAGTCGTCCTGTCCTGAACACTCTCTTCTTTCTTTTCACACGACCTTCGCCGAGACTTATGCTGATGCACTTGCCACGCTATGGTAGCATCTGCTGCTACCCGGCAGGGCGAGCTTCATCGTATGCGCTGTTGCAACCGTCTTGAGGGCACACAAAAGACGTGTGAAGTTGTCCGTAGATGAGAGAAGATGGGACCTTCAGTTGAATGACACCAGCAGGCAGCAGTCGACGTGAATCGTGGCACGAGTAGTGAATACCTCTCCTCCGAGGGACAACTCAGTGAGGTAATCGTTTCGGTTTGTTTGAGTCTTCGCTTGGATCAAGAGGTATAAGTAGTCGTCTCGTCCTCGACATCTTGTTCTTCGGATTCGTTGTCACGAGGTCGTGGTCGTGGTCGTACGCGGCCACGAGACAACGAACGTGAAGCTACGCGTGCCATGCTACGGTAGCATCTGCTGCTGCCTGGCGGGGCGAGCATCCTGGATTGTCCTCTGAAGCCGCAGTCAACGGAAAGACATCCACATGAAGTCACATAACATCTTTTGTAGTTCGACCACTGTCTATGTTCGGTCCAATCTCAGTCTGGAGCGGCAGCGAATGTCCATAAATTTTTGTGACCAGGTCGTTACTCCCAAAGCTCCATTCGCTTCCGTAAAAATGAATCGATGGTTTGAAAAGGCTGAAGTCAGAAGTCCTCCCATCTTCCCTGTCACCGCTGAAGAAGTCGTCACAGAATAACGCAGCACCCACCACCAGATTTCCGATCATTGAATGTCAACAGCGCCGCTCTCGTCGCGGCCTCAAACACATCATCCACGCCCTCCCCCGTCAAACTCGAGCACTCCAGATATTTCCTCGCGCCACAACTCTGCGCCATCTCCGTCCCCTCCCTCGCCGTGACAAACTTCAAGCTCTTCTTCCGCATCTCCTCAATCGCCATTGGATCCTCCCTCAAATCCTTCTTCAGCCCGACCAAAATGATCGGCACATCCGGACATCGCTCCCTCGCCTCTTCGATCCATTTATGCCGGACGTTTTCTAAGCTGTCTGGCGAATCAACGCTGAAGCCGATGAGGATGACGTGTGATTTCGAGTATGCAAGGGGCCGGAGGCGTTCGTAGTCTTCTTGACCAGCGGTGTCCCAGAGGGCGAGCTGAACGGAGCGGCCGTCGACGCGGCAGTCGGTGACGTAGTTCTCGAAGACGGTGGGAACGTAGTGGGTGGGGAAGTAGCCGAGGGTGAAGACGGAGAGGAGGGAGGTCTTGCCGCAGGCGCCGTCGCCGATTATTACTAGTTTTCTGTGGGGAGAGTGTTAGTTGAGCGGGTAGTATGTACTTGTGGAAAGAGGGACATCAGTTGGGCGGAACAAGATGTACTTGGCGGGCCGCGCGTCGCTGTTGGGAGGGTGGAGAGGAGGGCATACCTTCGCATGACATTTTGTGGTTGTGCCTGTTGTGCCATGGTCGGCTGTGGCGTGACGCACAGCCGGCAGTGTTCGTGGGCTCAGCAGTAGTCGTTGTCGTGGTATGGATGCAGAAGATCCGAGACAACTGGGCGAGGAAAAGATGGGCCAGGCGGACCCCGGACTGTGAAGTTGACTCAAATACAGGCAAAGGCGGGGAACGGTGTTGCGTATATGAGTTGGCGGTGGACGATGGACCAGCAGTTGGTGTAACTGCGCAGGTGGTTGTAACCTGAATGGGACGGGTTCGTGCAGAGATCCGCTTGGAAAGGAACCCGGTCGGCTGCTGCTGGGATTGTGAAGCGAGCCGTTCTCGAGGGTCTTGTCACAGATTGACGAGTACGTGGATGAGCGGCGAGATGCGTGCTATATGGCGATATAAAGTGAGGTGTTCGAGTACCTGAAACTAGTCGGAAGCGTGGAAGTGTCTCAGTGGGGTGCGTCTGTCAGAAATAGCACTTTTGTCTGAGCACAAGGTGACGTCGAAGGTCAACGTGGCTGTGTACAACTACTGCGCAGCCAGCGGAATGCTGAATCACAAGTCGAATCGACAAGTCTCCAAGGTTGTAGTGGTCGATGTGGGCGGAAAGTTGAGATGGGACGATCAGAAGCTAAGGTGAAGCATGTACTTGGATGAGCTGAGCTGATCTATCACTGCGAGTTTCGGCGGATTGAAGTGGATGTTGGATAGATATGTACTTATTATTTCATGCAGTGCCTTGAGGTCCGAGTCCGAAGAAGCTGGAGCACGAAAGAGGGCATTGGGCGCTCCTCAATGGGTGTAGTGGACACGGCAGAAGGAAGCATTGGAAGTCCGCGGCAGCAGGCCTAACAGCACCCGGAAGAAGCTGCTTGAGGGGCAACCGCTGGGCAGCATGTCGGTCCTAAAGATCCCTAATCTGTGCCGTCTCTCCCTCCTGCGCCTCCCAGTTGTGGCTAGTATTGTACAGGGTAGCCTGTGCCTGCGTCGTTCAATGACTGCCGCCGCTTGCCTTCGCCCCACGAATCAACGACAGCAGGCGAGTGAAGGGCAACTGGCACCTGACTGAAGTACCACTGGCACCTACCACTTACCACCTTCCTACTGTCCCTTCACTACGCCAGCAACAGCGTCTCTACCCGCTCGCATTGACTTGCAGACGACTCCCGCTCACACATCTACCCGCTCCGCACATTCTAGAAGCCGACCCGGTTTCATCGCAGCCTCATCAAGACCGAATATTCTCCCTTGGACGTTTGTGGAAGTCCCCCACCACAAACGAAACAAGACAAAGAACACCACGGTCCTTATGTGCTCATAAGTCAGCCTTCCACCGCGCCTGTGTGCACTCAACAGTAGTGATCCTATTCTCTACGGCATCGACCGAGTGCACATCATGCCGCCCAAAGCAAAGAAGCCGCGGTCGCAACCAAATCCGGCAACAAACTCACACCTCAAAGAAGCGGCAACACGTCTGCCTCTAGGGTCTGCTACAGCAACGACGCCCTCGGATGCTCCTTCGCTGCAGTACGGGCAGAGTCAGCAGCACCAAAGCAAGCCCGACGTTGATTCCAAAGCAGGCGATACTACCGAATCTGCCGATGACCGCCCCAATGCCCCAGCTGTCAACCGCAAAAAGCAAAAGAGGCGGGACAAGGAAGCTGCCAAACGTGCCGCCTCACAACAGCTACCAAATGGCCACACACCTGCGGGACGAGGTCCTCCTAAAGGCTACTTCACTGAGGACGCCGACATCACGGGTCCTCCAAGACCGCCACCTCACGATCTTGACTCCATTGACGCTAGCGACGACTTCTTTAGTGGTGACGACGAGGACGATGCGGACTATGGATCTCACATTGCGACTCAAACGAACAGTTCGTGGCTCAATACCAGCAAGCGGAAAAAAGCAAAAGGCAGGAAGACGAGTGCGAACAATTCAAACCAGATATCCAGAACCTCAACAGCCGTGACCCGACCGCACGTCTCAACCGTCTCGAATGCCGCTCTGCGCTCCGCCCATCGCATGAGCACCGATTTGTGGAATCCCACCACTCAGAACGAGCGCGATCAGATCAAAGAATATTGGCTGCAGCTGGGCGAGGATGAGCGTCGAAATCTGGTCAGAATCGAGAAGGAGGCTGTACTGAAGAAAATGAAGGAACAGCAGAAGCATTCATGCAGCTGCTCTGTTTGTGGACGCAAGCGGACCGCCATTGAAGAGGAGCTCGAAGTTCTCTACGATGCCTACTATGAGGAGCTCGAGCAGTTCGCGAATCCTGTGCCTGGTGAAACCCTGCCGCCTCCCAATTCATATCCTACACGACCTCGGCATCAAATTCCCGGCGCCTACTCGTCTTCTGGACGCGTGCAAGAACTGGATGATGACGAAGAAGAAGAGCTGAATTCAGAGGAAGACTTTGACTCGGAGTTCGACCCTGATGATGATCTCGACTATGCTGCGCTCCCTCCAGGTCCTCGAGACTTCTTCAACTTTGGCAACTCATTGCAGGTCAAAGGTACGTCTCGAAGGGATCCTAGACTGGCTCAATACTAAGATTATACAGATGGCATTCTAACCGTAGCTGACGACCTTCTCAAAAACGAAGGACGGAACTTCATTGACATGATGGAGTCACTTGCTGAGCGGCGCATGCAACGTGAGGAAGAAATCCATTTTCCCTCGTCTGCTCTCGCTCATCAGGGTGTTCATCAAGGTCACAACCATGCCCCGTTAGATGACGAGCCCGAATACTCCGATGAAGATCCCGATGACGATTACAATAGTCAGGAGGATGATGAGTACGATGAAGATGACCCGGAGGAGATGGTTAGTTCTACACACAAACAGGAGGAATATGCTAACTGTGTAGGAGGACTCTATGACGGAGGAGCAACGTATGGAAGAGGGTCGCAGGATGTTTCAGATTTTCGCCGCTAGAATGTTTGAGCAACGAGTACTTACCGCTTGGAAAGAAAAGGTGTCAGCCGAGCGCACACAGGCTCTGATCAACGAGCTCGACAACGACAAGGAACTTGAGGCCCAGAGAGAAGCAAAGAAAGCACGTGATGCCGCGAAGAAAAAGGAGAAGAAGAAAGCGCAAAAGGCTGCCAAGGACGAGGAGAAAGCTGCCAAGCGAGCCGCAGAAGATGCTGCGAAGGAAGCAGAAGAGAAGGCCGAACAGAAGCGGCTCGAGGAACAGCGACAGCGCAAAGAGGAGCAGCGTAAGAAACGTGAAGCTGATCGAAAGGCCGCCGAGGAGCTTCGCCTGAAGCAGGAAGCTGAGAAGCTTCGTCGAGCGCAAGAACAAAAGGATCGACAAGCTGAAGCCGAGCGAAAGGCGAAAGAGGCCAAGGAGCGCGAACGGACGAAGAAGGAAGAAGCCAAGCGGAAGGAGCGAGAAGAGCGCGAGGCTAAGGAGAAGGAAGCTCGCGAACGAAAGGCCAAGGAAGCCCAGGAACGAAAGACCAGAGAAGATGCAGCTCGACGGGAGAAGGAGACTGCTGCGAGGGAGGCACGCGAAAAGGCAGGACCTCCGTCGAGCGTGAAGCCTCAACCGGTTGCTCTGCCACCAGGTCTCACGCCGCCAACCCGACCTGGACCGATGCTTCAGTCACCGAGCGTTCAAGCCGCCATTCCTGTGCCACCAGCAAAGATCCCTACCCCGGCTCGAGTCCGTCAAACATCGCAGCCCAGCCAAGCAGTCCCTTCTCACGGATCGTCGCCAAAATCTCAGCAAGGTAGCAGTACCGAACACTCAGCCTCGCCTGCAGGCACACTGCCGCAGACACCTGCGCAAGGCCAAGCCGTACGAAACCATGGCCAGCCTCCGGTGCTGCACCATCCTCAGCCTTCTGCGCCGCGATCTCCTCTGAACAATCCCAATCGCAACAATCACGCCTTCAACATGAATGGCCTGCCTGGACTCGGAGTAAGTGGCCCGCCAAATGCGCCAGGAATGATGCCAGGTATGATGCCTCTGGGACCTGCTTACGGAGGACCACAAGGGTTGCCAGTGGGGAGTCTTCCTCGGTATGGTCCGAACGGTATGCCATTCGCACAGAACTATGGCGGACCGCGACACTTCCAACCACCACAGCCAATGCACTACAACCCTCAGCAAGCGCCGCCCACAACAATGCCCAGCCAGCAGCCCGTTGCTGCCAAACCGACCCATTCCCGCCAGACATCTGGTTCCGGCATGACTGAAGCGTCGTCACATCCTGCTCCCATCGGGAGACCTGGCCCAATTGCTCGGCCTTCGAGTACCACGCCAGACAAACAATTCCGCAAGACCTCGGCCGAGAACGACGTTGAACAAATCACCGCACAGCTGGGCAGCAAGGCTTTGCTTGACGACTCAGATGAAGCACTCCCTATTCTGCACGACAACAGAGGCGGCGCGCCTTTGAAGCAAGCTCCCGGCAACGGACGAGTGCCGTTCGGGTCGCCATTTCCAGAACCCAGAGCAGAGGGGTTCGGTCATGGCTTCGGCGGCTTCGGCGCAGCAAGTCCTTGGGGTCAGTCACTTTCTCAAGCAGCACCGCGACCTACCAACACATGGTCTCAGCAGCCCTTTGGCGGCCCGTTGATGCCGGGCGCACAACTCTCGCACCGCTCGCACATGCCACGACCCGTAGCTGTGCGATTGATGCTTGTGGAAGCTTGTCGCCATCTATCGATGATGGGCGAATCACTCCATCCTGTCCAACAAGTGCTTCAACAAGTGGAGATACGAAGAGCACCCGGAGAGCCATCGGTGTCCATGGACGAGATGCTGGAAATTTGCGACACAGAGGGCAATGGTCAGAACGGGGGCGGATCGTTCGAAGTGATGGTAGACCAACACCGAGGACAGGTCATCAAGTTCACCGAAGACAATGCGCTGCCTCGTAGCAGCGTCGGTGATATTGGGAGTCCCATCCCTGGTCACTCGAACACTGCCCAGCCGTTCCCAATCGGCCAGCAGTCATCCTTCGGCCCACCAGGTCGCGGATTCTAGCAGCTGAGTATTCGGCCGATGTGGGTTCTCCAGAAGGTGCCTACTGCTACAGTGGGAAGACGTCGGAAGGTGTGAGGGCAGGGTAGCAGGTATTGTGGTTTGTCTGATGGGACGGATCACCTTTCCAGCAGCCTATCGTTGACGGGCCGGCTATCGTTGAAGCAAGTCATTCATGCAGTGTTAGTTTACACAGCATGGCTTAGTATTCGTGTAGTTCACGACCCTTCTAACGGGTAAAGAGAGCAGTTATTAGCGACCAATAGCGAATAATACTGCACCCGTTGCCATGTCGAACTCAACACTTTGTCCTCTGCGTGTGGTAGACTTGCACCTCCAGAATCTGATGTGGCGTAGATCATGACCGCTGCTTCTCGGGGAGCATGATTAAGCAGATGCAGGACGGTATCGCGCCAAAAGGATCGGAAGTCCGTAGCCATATAGACCTGCCGAATGAGAAGCCTCGATCAGCAGCGCCCACATGGCAGTCGCTCCCCGTGGAGCTTCCCGTCAACATGCAGCTGTCACATCATGTCTGTCGGAATGCTTCGCCTCGTATAGCATCACTTAGGTTTAGATTCCAAGGTTGTCCATGCGAGCAGCATGCATGCACCACGTTTACATTATTATCATGATTCTCCCCATAGAAAAAGCATATTCCGGTACCTTTACCCGTTGTCCAGGTGGCTGACCTGGAACCTGGCTATAGCGGCAGGTGTAGTATATACAACGGCTAGTGCATTTCAGCCGCAACGAAGGTTCATGTTCTTCTTCTTGTTCGAAGCTTCCAGAGGTATAACTGCATTTCTTGTCCATTCACCAGGCGTCCCAGGCACATACTACGAGAAGACAAGCCGTATGCAAATCTAAGAATACATTCCTCTTCTCGCAAAGCAGCGTTATCGTGGGGCCACACACACCCCTCTCACCAACAAGCGAGCTCTTCTCTTTCGTTGCCGGACTCGGCGATCGCCCATCCCTCTACCGGGACACGAGTCCACGGCCTTACCTTACTTTTTGGCTGTTCGGGCTCAGCAATGTCGCTCGCTTCTGTTCTTGCTTCTACACCTATCTCTACACCCCCAGCATCACCATCTAGAGAGCAGTCAAGTCCAAATCGCCCAAGGATAACTATACCGCCGTCTTCCGGAGGAGTTGTATCTGTGCTGAGCGCTGGAAGCAAGCACAGTGTTGCGAGGAAACCGTTGAGGGCTTCAAGGGAGATAGGGCGGGAACAGCAGCAGCACTCATCACCACCGTCTCTACAGGCTTTCGGACCAAGCCCTACACAGCAGGATTATCAGCAACGACAATATCAACAACGGCATCCTGATTTCGATACTCTGCACTCCCTGATCACTCCACCCTCCAACAACACCAATTTCACGACTAACAACATGACTTCATCACCGGACGACTCAGCTTCAACGCTCTACTACACGGCCACCACAATCCCCTCCCCACACTCCCAACCACTTTCGACAGTACACGCCTTCCCCTCCCGCCTCTCCGGGACGACCGTCTACATAGTGGTTGACCCCGTGACCGAGGAGGCCGCCATCATCAACCCGATCCTGGACTTGGACCCCACAACCAACGAGATCAGGACCAGGCATGCCGACCGCTTGCTGAAATTCGTGAGCGATGAGGGGCTGAGTGTGCGGTGGGTGTTGGAGACAGGGATCCATGTTGATCGGATTAGTGCTTGTCGGTATCTGCAGATTCAGTTGGAGCAGAGGAATGCTTTGGAGGGAGAGGGTGGGAAGGTGGTGGTGGGGACGGCGGAGAACTCGTTTTGTACTTGTGGCGATGATGATGATGATGAAGACCAAGCCGCATCACCAGACACGACACGCACCGCATCACGAACTTCCACGATGTCGCCGACGAAACTACCGGAAGCATTCGATCGCCTCTTTGCCGATGGCGAGCACCTCCGCTTGGGCAACATTGTGTTCCAGTGCGTCCACCTGGACGGGCATGAGGGTTGCGAGTATATCTTTGGAGACAATGTTTTCGGGAGCAACCTTCTCAAAGTCCTAGGCGGGGAGATGTCGAATGGGCAAACATCAGGCAGGGCCAGCGTGACGAACCACCCAGACCCACCGCCCGAGAAGCATCAACAACACGGAAGAGGCGATAGCACCGTTTCATCGCGGCAGAAGATCACGATTGACGAAGTGCTGAGCTCTTCTGCGACACCCAGCGAACAAACCAACGGGGATAGCAGCACTATCAATGGGGTGCCTCAGGAGCCGCCGAGGCCGAGTCCAATGCTGGCTTTTTATGCGGAGCAAGTTAATACCAGGGGTGGAAGGATACCGAAGAAGATTAACCTGCCAGCGGCGACGCAACGGCGGCTTACCCTGTCAGAAGGCGATCTGGCGGGGCTTGATCTCAACGGGAAGGGGAAGGGGAGGGAGAGTTTAGGTGGGGGCGGAGGTCAACAACAGCAGCAACAGCAGCAGGGGCACCAGCAGGGGATGGTTGCGCCGTTGAAGATTCCGCGGAAGCTAGGGGTTATTATGTGCTGATACGACCATGGCTCGAATCCTCTCAAATGGACGAAATAGCCGGCTGGCACCGAGGCGTCCATCCGCACAACGACAAACGTATGTCTTGGCTGGAAAGAGCGTGTCGATCTCTGTCGCGAATGGGATCATCATGCCCGCCTCCAGCGCCGCGCGAAATCGTGGCGGGTAACATGGAAAAGGATAACGCCAGCCAGCCAAGCAATTCGTACTGCCCTTTCTCAAGCAGCTTGCTATCCGTGCCGATCACCGCGTCTCAAACACCTCAATCGAAACGCTACCCTATCAAGAAGTGGGAGACGGTGTTTCGCTTCGACATGCTGAGGAGGCAGAGAGTCTTGTACGCAACCACCAACACCAGCAGCAGCGGCGGTATAGGCAGCAGCAACTTGACAAAGGATCACTTTGCACCTTCACCAGCTACTTCGAACTCGGTCACGGAAGAAGACATACGTGGTGGGAGATCGATTGTCTCTATCACGACTTCTCCCTGGTCATAAAGATCCGCAACACCAGATCACAATACCCTCTCTTTTCCGTCACCGACGCTCGCTCTTGCTCTCGCTCCACCTTCAACGTTCGCCCGCGGCATGACAACGCCAGAGTTCGGTTCGTTCATGCTTCCCTGCTCCCTTCGGCCCCTTCTTGCTCGCTCGCCCTTTGCTGCTCGCGCACCCTCTCCTGCTCGCGCACCCTTCCCTGCTCGCGCACACTCCCTTACTTGCCTGCGGCGCTGCCTTCGAGCCTAATGCTCCGCACGCTCGCCTTTGCCCTGAGCCACACCACACGGTGTGAAGGCGGCGGGCCCTTCGGGCCCGCCACCTCCCCACCACCTCCCCCACCCGCCGTCCCCTTAATCATGTTCCCCGAGTTGTTGCAGTGGTAATGATGTGTGCCATACCCGTCCTCAAACTCCAAATCCCTGGCCAATATGTTTCGACGTTCCTGAAGGCGGGGAACAGGGCTCTCTCTGGTTCGAGACCGACACAGTTCACGGCCGCTCGTGCGTGAGGGCATGGCCAGTTTGCTCCAAAGATGATTCTGTATCATGTTGCCCGGAATGAGATTACGATGTAGATGTGTGATGAGTAGGCAGGCTGGTCAACAAATGGATGTCGGTAGAGCCAAACAGACCCTACAGAGGGAGAGTTCTGAGATCGTGAATTGCTTTTCTTCTCAGTTTGGGTATCAATCTACTACCTCATATCTGCCTCACTGTTGCCAGGGGCTTCTTTCGTTTGTCGCAAGGTCCAGCTGGATACACATACACACGTCTATCGGCTCTTGCGCTTCCGCTCAGTCATCCCCACCACCTCCACCAGCACCCATATTCCCACCACCCTGCTGCGCGCTCTTCGCCCCACAGATCTCATCCACCCGCAACAGCAGACACGCGCTCTCCACCGCCGTCTTGATACTCTGCATTTTCACCGCTGTCGGCTCCCAAATCCCGCCTTCCTTCTTCTCGTCGATTATTGAGCCGGTATCGCAGTCCACACCCCAGCTATGCTGCTTCTCAGCGTGTTTTGAGCGGAGTTGTGTTAGGATGCGGATCGGACTACCACCGCAGTTCTCGATCAAGGTACGCGGGATCACCTCCATCGCATCCGCGACGGCTTTGTATGGCCATTGTTGGACTCCTTCGATGGATTTTGCTTTTTGCGCGAGTCGGACTGCTACGGCCATCTCAGTGCGCCGCCGCCGGGCGAGACGGCGGGCTCGAACATGACGTTGCGGGCGACGGCCATGGCGTCGTGGAGGTTGCGCTCGATCTCGTTGAGGATGTCCTTTGAGGGACCCCGGAGGAGGATGGTGCAGGCTTTCGGGTTCTTGCATTTTGTCAGGAAAGTAAAGTACTCGTCGCCGATCTTGGAAATTTCGAAGAGGCCGCACTGTGTTCCTACATCGGAGGCGACGAGGTCGTCGACGCGGTTGACCACCGTAGCGCCGACGGCGCGAGCGATGCGGTTGTTGTCTGTCTTGCGGACGCGGCGGATGGCGGTGACGCCCGCTTTGACGAAGTGGTGCTGTGCGAGGTCTGAGACGCCCTTTTCGGTGATGACTAGATCGGGCTTGTGGGCGAGGATTGCGTCGCACATTTTCTTGACTTGTTCTTCTTCGATCTGGAGGATGCGCTCCCAGGACTCTTCGTTTGTGATTTCGATGTTGGTTTGGGACTCGCCTTTTTTGTACTCGAGGGAGCAGTCGAGGAGGATGATGCGCGGGTTGGTGATTTTGCGGCGCATGGAGGCGTGGGTTATGTCTTTGTTCAGCATGACGCCGTCGAGGACGCGGCAGTCTTCGATCTCGCCGCCGGGAATCTTTTCGATGCGGGCGTAGCGTTTTAGGTCGATTTCTTGGGGTTTCTTGGGGGTTGTGCCGTTGGTTGTGGGCGTGGAGGAGGATGTGGTGGCGTTTGAGAAGAATGAGGCGTCTTGAGCGACGATGCGGACGGCGTTGAGGGCGAGCGAGCACATAAGGTCGGCGTTGCGGGAGATGGTCTTGGTGCCGATGCAGGAGTTGATGAGGGCGATCATCTGGCGGTCGTTGGAGATGTCGACCGGTAATGAGATCTCTTCGACGATGGCGAGGGCGTCTGCTAGGGCCTTCTTGTATGCTTGTATTATCACCACGGGATGTATCCGTCTTTCGAGTTGTGGGAGGGCTTGTGCTAGCATTTCACCGGCGAGGATGATGACTGTGGTCGTGCCATCGCCGACTTCTTCGTCTTGCGTTCTGCTGAGTTCGATCATGCTCTTTGCCGCTGGGTGTGCTACCTCAATCTCTCGTAGGATGGCGTGTCCGTCGTTGGTGAGGACGATGCCGCCCATGGGGTCGAGCAGCATCTTCAGCATGGCTTTGGGGCCGAGACATGATCGTATTATGTCGGCCACCGTCTTTGCGGCTGTGATGTTGGATATTTGGGCTTGTTTGCCAATTTGACGCTCACCGGCGCCCGTGTCTGTCCAGTGTCAGTCTGGATCCCGCTAGGGAATACTGTGGACGTACTCATTACAATGACCGGAGCCTGCATTTTCGCGGTCTGCGGGCGAAAGCCGCGATTTGGCTGCTGTCAAAGATTTCAGACGCGTGAAGAGCTCTGACAATGGAAATCGAGATCACCGCTGCGGAAAGGAGCGAAGGCCAGTTGAGTTGTTGACGCTTGGAAATTCGATATCAAAGTGCAAAAGAATCTTGTAGACCCCCGCAGTCCGATGCCAAGCCTTTCTTTGAGCGGCCTCTGCGGCGAAATCTATCACGACTCGATAAAGCGGATGCCTACAATCTATCTGAATTGAGCGTCACTCACGTGCCACCAAGCAGCATTCTGGAGTCTTAGAATGTGGCTCCATTGTTATCAAGGCTTATACACACGGCTTGTTGAGATCACGACCCGTCAGCGTTTCGATCCATATCATCGCGACCCTTCCTTGGCCTCTTGTGATTTCGCAGAGTGGCACCCTTCTTGCCACGATTCTCCTGCAGTTCCTTCATCTCCATGGCGGCAGCTCGAGCCGCCTCTTCGACCCGCTCAGAATACACCATGACCTCCTCTCGAACAGTCTCGTACTCCTCCAGCTTCTTGCCTAGCGCATTCTCGATACGCAGCCATATCTCGACATCATACTGCGTGACCAGGGACAAGGCGTGGCCACTTTTGCCAGCTCGAGCCGTCCGTCCCACTCGATGAATGTATGTCTTGCTGTCGTGCGGCAGGTCGAAATTCACTACCAGATCAACAGCCGGTATGTCAAGGCCACGCGCTGCAACATCTGTAGCCACCAGTAGACTTTTGGACTTGGCTCTGAATGAGTTCAGAGCAGCAAGCCGCGCTTGTTGGGATAGTTGACCATGTATCGGCACTGTCGAGAACCCCAGCTTCTTCAGTATGATGGACAGACGTTGTGCCTCGTTGACCGTTCGTGTAAAGATGATGCCTGTCTGTCCGGCCTTTTCATTGAGGACGTGGATTAAGTAAGTCAACTTGTGCTTCAGAGGAATGAACAGAAACTTCTGTATCAGGGACGACACGGTCTGGTACTTGTCTTGAGACACTGAGACTCTTGCTGGATTTTGCAGCGATGCTCTCTGTAGCGACTCGACCTTGCTTGACATTGTCGCTGAGAAGAGGTATGTTCGTCGGCCATCGCGAGGGAGGACTCGTAGGATCTTGTCGAGGATCGGACCAAAATCAAGGTCCAGTAGTCTGTCGGCTTCGTCCATGACTAGGTATTTCAGCTGCCTCAACGAAAAACCCTTTGTGTTCTCTAGGTGGTCCAGCAACCGTCCCGGCGTCGCAACAACCACATGCGGCATCTTCCCAAGCGCTATGGCTTGTGGTATCATATCCATGCCTCCCACGAGGACTGCACATCGTACCGAAATGAGTGAGCCAAGTGCTTGGACGGTCTGCGAGATCTGATAGGCAAGTTCTCGAGTTGGCGCAAGGATGAGCGAGTGCAACTTCTGCGGTTTGGCCATCAATGCTTGCAGGATTGGGAGGACGAATGCAGCAGTCTTGCCACTACCAGTCTCCGCAAGGCCGATCAGGTCGCGACCTTCGAGAGCGAGTGGTATTGACTGGGACTGAATCGGTGTGGGTGCTTTGTAGCCCAGGTTATCGCAGGCTTCGCATAACGACTCGATAATTCCGAGTTCTTTGAAAGATTGTGCTTCTGCTGGTGCATCGTTCTCTGCAGGTTGGTCTGAGGTGGCTGACGCGGAATCAGATTCGCTGTCGTGCGACAGCTTTCGCTTCTTGTACGGTGGCATCGTAACTTTTGTGGTCAGAGCGCCGCGCTGTGTACCAAGATTGGTGAATGAAATTGTCAGCCAGGAATTTGCGCTGTTGAGCGTCCATCTGCGGGGAGTGTCGTCTGCGTCGATCAGCAGAAAAAGATTTGGCTGAGGCCCTCCGCACCAAGTTGCGCCTTATCGATTGTCTCGCCGAGCTATGCCAGCCTTGGTATAGTGCCTGTCACCTGTGCTTGAAGTCACCCAAACCGCTTATGAACCTCTTCCCATCACGGACAACACGCTTCGTATCTTTCAATGAAACCATCGTGCTGCTAGATCCGTCCTTTAGCCCGGTGTCGCGTCAAGATGCGTCCACGCCATCGACATGCTGCCAATGGCGACGAGGTCTCTGACCGCGTGGGTCTTCGGCGAGGACTCGAAGTAGTCCTGACTTGTTGCATGAGAAGTTGTTGATGAGCGCTGGCATGATGAGCGATGCCCACTGGAGTGATCTCAGGATGAAGTGCGCAGGTATTGTGCGTAGGGCACGACGCACGAGGAGACTCCAAGCAGTTGACTGCGAGTAGACCATGAGTCTCGTCATTGCATGCACTTGACAAAGGGCGACAATGACTTCAATGTGATCTTGCTTCACTTACAACAGGGACCTCTCCCATCATCTCGGCGTAGCTATTCCTCTGATCTCAGCAATTACCACCAGATTGTCTACTACATGGGCATGTCACATGTTGAGACTCTCGAAACTTCTTGCTATCACGATCGCAACTTCCACCACATTCATGGCTGGCAGACAACATTTGTTTACCGTCCGCAGCGACTTCCCACCCACCATGGACGCCGCAAAGCTATCGTCAGCGCTTTATCAGCGAGCCGTCAACAAATGCCGACGTCAACACAAGTTCTTCTTCCTCTCCCTACCACTACCCATCCGAAAGCTCGTCTACACTGCGCTCTGGCTCGGCAATACAGTGCAAGTCGCGACTTGGCTGAAGTCGCACGGCGAAGACTTCGCCGACCGCGAGACATGTCAGCTGCTACTTACCTGTCGACAAATCAACAAGGAAGCGAAGCCGTTCTACTACTATTTCAGTCGCTGGAAGTTCGTCAGCATCTCAACTCTCAATCACTTCACATGGCCCACCGCGCGCTGGCCGCCGTGGTCGCACATCACCAAAGTCTCTCTCACCAAGGTCAACATACTCGAGGAGTTTTCGAAACATCTCAGCAAGTTCAGGAACCTACAGCTGCTCACACTCGACATGCCGGACGAGTTCAGAGTCAGGACACCACGACGAGCCCGCGACGAGGGCGAATGCCGAGCCTTCGTACGCTCGCTGTTGACACGTCGATTCTACCGCAATAACTTCCACGAACATCTTTACATTCAGCGCAATTGGGATGTGCACCTTGTGATTCATGTCACCTATGATACCATTGATCTCGAGACAATTCATCCCAAAAATTCAGAGGTATGTCCAGAATCTTCAGCCGCTAGTTCGAATACTAATTTCATCAGGTTGTACTCGTTGATATTGACAATCACAATGTGGTTTACAACTGGTACAGAATGCCGCCCCCAGAGAAGCAGTACGTGGCTGTGATGCCGTCTTCAGGCGACAGCGATGTCGATTGCACAATCATTTCCGATGACGAGGCATAACGAGTCGACCGCCATCACCTATCGAAGAAGTCTGGGCGGGCTGGAAGATCCTGCAAATGGCTACACTCGACCTGAGGCAACGTGCGTCAAGGCAGATTGGAGTAGTTGCCGCCCATTCGAGGCCGGCCTTGAGATGTCTTGCGCATACTGAGTGGTGTTTCCATCATCGCATCTGCTGACTCGAGGAGACAGGGCGCCGGCTGCTCACTGGTATGTCTCCAGAGTGCGCCACGAAGCGTGCCTACCGATGGACGTTCCGATCTGCAAGACTTGCAAAGCGCAAGGCGTGGGAAGAATAGGGGCAGGCTCGGAGAGAGCTCCGAAATTGGCCGAGGTCCAGATCATGATCAACTAACTTCACGAATCTTTCCTCGAGCTTCAATGCTTTCCTTGCCATAGAATGCCATAACGATTCAATTTGATTGCAAGCAGTACTCGTTTCTTTTTTTCTTGGTTCGTATGCGCTCCCACTGCATTTGCTAGGCGTTCCTTTGGATACGTAGAATTTTGCCACCAACAATTCGCTTCCTACAAACTCACCCCGCGCCTGGGCAACAATGGTCTCCTCCGAAACAGACGCCAGAAAATCACCACTAGTCTCCCTGATAGCAGGCGGCCTCGCCGGCGGCGTAGAGTGCTCAGTAACGTACCCCTTCGAGTTCGCCAAAACCCGCGTCCAGCTGCACTCCTCGGACGTATCCCGGAACCCCTTCTCAGTCATCAAACGCGTCATCGAGCGCGAAGGCGTTCGGTCCCTCTACAAAGGCTGCACGACACTAATCGCCGGCTCCGTCGCGAAAGACGCCATTCGCTTCATCTCCTTCGACACCATCAAGGACCAGTTCAAGGATCCGGAGACCGGGACGTTGTCGCCATTGAGGAATCTAGCTGCGGGGATCACGTCGGGAGTAGTTTCGAGCACGTTTGCGGTCACGCCGACAGAGAGGATCAAGACTGCCCTGATCGACGACGCGCGCAATGAGAAACGATTCCGCAACCCCTGGCACTGCACCAAGACTTTGATCGCCGAGCATGGGTTAGGGGCGGTTTATAGGGGCTATGTGGCGACGACGATGAAGCAGGCCACCACCACCGCCGTACGTCTGGGCACCTACAACATCCTCAAGGATTTTGAGAAAGTCAGAGGGATACCGCAGACCACTGCCATCACTTTCGCGAATGGAGCGGTGGCGGGTGTGACGGTTGTGGCGCTTACGCAGCCGTTTGATTGTTTGAAGACGCGCGCGCAGAGTGTTAGGGGTGCGGGTGTTGTTGAGGCGTTTCAGAGTATTTGGGCGGAAGCGGGAGTTAGGGGGCTTTGGCGAGGGAGTACGATGCGGCTGGGGCGGACGGTGCTGGCCGGTGGGATTCTGTTTACGAGTTATGAGGCTATTGCGGAGGTTATTACGCCTTTGTTGGGAAAGTCGACTGCGGCGGCTTGAAGAATAGATGCGACTGCCCTGGATACTGCAGCAGCCAAAACGAGCGTCATCGGCGCAACATTCTCGGGAACGACACTGGCAGGCGTCGACAATCGACATGCTCGCTGTGAGGCTAGGAAGGCACGACCCACGCAATCCTATCAGCTTCGTTCAGGCAACACAGGCCACACCTCGCACATCTTAAATCACAGCCTGCATACTTGAGGCTGTTTGCCTGACATCGAGGACTACCGCGGCGCCGGCCAGCGACAGCACGTCTTGCGCGACACCTCCAATGCAAGTTCAAGACCGGCTCAGATTCATTGCTATACGTCTCCGTCGCCCCCCTTCAAGCGCAGATGGTGCCACATGCAAGGATGCTGTGCAGGCGCTGGCATCGTTGGAACAGGCCGAGGATGTTCTCCCACAGAACTGCATTTGACACGCCGCCTAAAGCATATCATGGGCCACGGTAGCCTCGCGCTGGACGCATCAGCTCAGCTTTCCAGGTTCCGCACAACTTAGATCCCGCTTTGTGGTTCCGAAGCTCTTGGCGGCCACTATGTGGAAGCGCACTTGTCTGCTCACCACGTCGGTCGAATCCATGGAATCTAGCGATCTCGTGGATTTGCCTCTACAGCCGTGTTGGCTTCGAAGTCGCCGACGGAGCTGCCATGAGGTAGTGATACTTCATTTGCGCATCCATCAACACCCATTTTGCCGTTGGATTTCGATTACTCGTCCTCGACGCTCAGCGGCCTTTGCAGATCAAAACTTCCTCTGGGGCTGATGCAATATTCGCTTATTTGACTCTGGTCCGTGGAGACTACTACTGTCAAAGTACACAGGCCCAAGTTGAGTTCGATGAACTGGCTAATAAGAGCCATTACCTCTCAGCTGGTGGTAATGCCCAGCGTCTACGCACCGCACACAAGCCTTCATCATTGAGTATCTGCACAATTCTTCTCGAGAGCTGACTTCTCTTCTTCATTGCACTCAAACAGCGACCGAAAGGTCCTCTTCAGCAATATGGGCGCGACATTCAGCAAGGAGCTGGACAGGGGCCAACTCGACGAGATAGACGACAGGGTCAAGCAAGTAGGCGTTCTTGTCGCCGAGCGTGCTGTCGGCGCCCCCGACTCAAAAGATGTCCTGTATAGCATCAGATGGGTTGGAGAGCCCAATATGCGCGCGGGCATAGGGGAAGAGAAGAAATATCCCATCGCGGTCTATTTCGGCGAGGTCAACGTCACACCCGAAAATTATAATGCCGGCCTGGTCGGGGATGCTTTCGTGCCGCAACTGGAGATGTACGACCAGTTTGGCCGTAAGTACTTTCCGCCTTTCCCATGAGTCGGTGACTTGCTGACATACGACAGAGCCAATGACTGACCGATCGGAAACGCCTAAGAAGCCGGCCACGCCGGGTGGCATTTGGAGGTCTAAGTTAAAATCTAAATGGAAGAAAAAGTCGTATCCTACATATCTCACTGTGCGGATTGGTATGCTCGCTGCCCTCCTCCACCCCTCCCTACGCCGTTTGAGTCCAACTAAGAGCCTCCGCAGACGTAGGAAAGAAGCACTGGAAGGACAAGCACCCAGTATGCATATCAGCCATCAACGTAATGGACCACAGCGGCCTCGAAGTCACCATCTCAGGAGACGCGTTGCACAAGGCTTGCAAGTGGCCAGGATATGCATCGCCCTCTGTGCATAAGATTTACGGCCAAGATGTCAAATCCGACTGCATCTGGTTGGACCCGGTCGCCCGAAACGATCCCATCACCAAAGCTGTGTTCCCCATGCAGATGACCTTCCACCTGCCGAGCTTCCTGGCACTGCTTCGGCAGGGGTCTACACCCAAGATATGGATATGTTGTGCAAGGTGCCGCCGCTCGCCTGGCCGTGGATCAACATGGAGGGGAGCCTGGGAAATGATCGATTTCCGATATTCTCGCCACCGCTCCGTAAGTCGCCCACTCCTGTCATTGGCAAGCTTTGTACCGGCGTGTGGTTTTCACGTCAAGTGCTGCAGGAGCGTTCGGTCTTTGGACCAAAGAGCAAGTCGGCCTCCGACTGTGTATTTCCGATATCAAACCCTCTTGTCTCTCTCTACATAATGCAGACATCCCTCTATTCCGAACAGCAGCCCCTCCTCGGCCTCGCAAACCCCCTCCCTTGGGAACACCATATCGTCTCATCATAAGACCCAAAAGCTAACATCAACCTCCCCTAGTCCTCCCCACCGACTTCGACGACGCCAAATCAATGAACGACGCCAAATACCCAGCAGGCATACCCGTCCAAAACCAACTCTACCGAGGCGACATCGTCAAAAACCAGAAATTCTGGTTCGTCACCACATGGAACGAAAAGGAGAAGAAACGCAAGCTTACACCCTTGGGCAACGTCATGCCGGAGTTGAAGAATGGAGGTGATCTAAAGGCCAAGCGGGAGGATGGTGGAGAGGGAGAATATCTGCCGTTCAACAACACCAACACCAACCAGTATGGGTTTGATTATGGGAGGATGTCGAGTATGTTTCGGGGGCTGTATTCGATCACGAATAGTACTGAGCCGGAGGATACGGCGGAGTTCAAGTGTGCGCAGCGGAATTTTGTGGGGCCGGATTGGTATAATGAGTGGGAGGGGCGGTATTGTGATTTGGAGTCGAGGAGGGTGTTTCCGACGTGTGGGGGTGAGGAGCAGGGGATGTGTTGGGATCCGATGGCGACGGAGATTCGGGGGGCGAGGGAGGTGATGGAGCCGGTTGCGGATTGGAGTGGGTTGGTGGCGAAGAGGGATGGGTTGACGACGTTGGTTGGGGTGGCGGCGACGAAGTCGGTGTCAGCTGCGGCGCCGTTCAAGACGCTGTCGGCTGTGTATGGGTACTTCTAGACCATCGGCACCAAAGGCATTGTCGGAATCCTCATGATTGATACCATCACACGGAATTTGGCGCGGAGCTGGGGAATCTACACAGTCCTCGGTCTGGGACTTGTAGCGGAACATGACAGCCTGAAGGAGACGGAACGCATCCGACAACTAGCTATGTTTGTCGGCCCCAAATACAGTCTACGCCTCTTACCCACCTTACCGCTGTGCCGATCAGCCTGTCCCCTTCGGCGGAGCGAGCCCTCTTCGAGCAGACAATAGAGGAATTGCCACGGGTTGCAATACACAAGAACGAGATGCGAGACGCCCATATACCCGAGTTGTTTCATTTCACTTTTCAGATTCTTCTTTAGAAGATATGCAGGGCAGGAAAAGTAATGTTCGTTGACACGAGGCACCGATGAGGACCAGATGACTTCCAATCAGCCTGCCGATGTCCCTCCATCAAAGCGCCACTTATGACGCCACGGGAAAGCTCGCCCTGCCTGGTAGCTTGGAGTGCTATCGAGACATGGCAATGTTTTTGGGGCGAGCTGCTCGCATGATGAAGAAGAGAGCACGGTGTCGAGGACGCAGCAGATACTTATAGCACTTCCACTGACGAAACATCCGAGGCGAGCCGAAATGATCACTTCACTACCGGTCTAAATGGCAGTCACTGTTCTTTGCATGACTCAATCTGCGCTGCTGCCTAATGTCATTGAATTGCATGATCCATGAGTAATTTGCTCTAGTCTCGTGTGAGTCTCAGGATTCCTCCAATGTGTATCTAGCTCATCCTTCACGCTCTTTTCCTTGGGTGCCCATCTAGAAGCCTCGGATCACATCCCCACACACTTCTCCCCTGAATCAACCGTCGTCCCCGCCGCCATCCGCGTAATATCCTGCGTCGCTTCCCACAGCAACTCCCCCGTCAGCGCGCTGCACTCTGCATAGCGATCCACCCTCATCTCTCGCGCACACTGCAGGCCTTCTTCCGGCATGATGCATTCGTACTCCCATTCCTCCTCCTTCCCTCCTTCGCCTGTTGGTTCGAGGAAGGAGATTCCCTTGTGCCGTGGCGCACTGGAGCTGGGGTTGACGAGTTGTTTGCGGGCTGTGCGGAGGTCGCGCTGCAGGCCGAGAAGGAGGATGGGGATGGAGGAGGTCGGGTAGTGCAGGTGGTATTGGGGGAGCCAGTAGTGGCGGATGTTGAAGAGGGAGAGGCGGGAGGCGATGGAGAAGGTTAGGATTAGGAGGTTGGGGAGATCACGACGGCGTCGTCAAGAGGTGCTGCATGGCGTGCGTG